ACAGTAGTTAAGGGAAGGATGGTCTTGTAGAAGGTGGCACTGGATTAGGACTCTGCAGATCTGGGTTAAGTTCCTGACATCACCATAGACTGTGTGTCTCTGAACCTGTCTCAATTTCCAAATGTAAAATGGGGGTCACAGTATTTTTGTTTATCTGTTTAGACTGTAATCTCAGAGTCAGGGAGTGCCTTTCATTATGATAGTGCAGCGTTTAGGACAATGAGGTTGTGATTTTGGTTGGGACCTTTAGGGTATGTCTACACTGCAGCTGGGAGTGTGCCTGCCAGCCTAGGCTCAAGTAAAAATAGCAGCGTACACACTGCAGCACGGAGAGAGGCTCAGACCACCACCCAAGCTCAGACCCAGGAGGGCGGGCAGGCTCTGACTTGCGGGGCTAGCCTGAGCCATCATCTGTGCTGTAATGTTTATGCTGCTATTTTTAGCAAGCAAGAATGAGCAGAGCTAGCACTACTCTGTCTACCTGGGCTGGGAGGCTCACTCGCAGCTACAGCGTAGACATACTCTTCGGCACTGCCGTAAATACAAACTCTTCATTCTCCTCATTATTAAGTGGTTCTTGGATTCTGTGAAGATTTCTCTCTACACTTTTGGATTAGTCCCCAAAAATTCCCAGATCCTTCAGTGTATCCTGAGCCCAGGTTATTGTGCACCCTGAGGTCAAGGACTGTGACCATTGCATTTGAAGCCGTATTTTATGGTGAACCAGCATAGAAAGCAGAAAATAAGTCTGATGTGCATGCTCCCAGTGTTACTGAGGAGAGACAGTTTTAAAAACCCAGGTTTTACAAAATTTAATTTGAGCCAAAATTAAGTTATGGTGGTTACAAGGCACTTCTTAGTCCTGTGCAATGCATGTGTTTAAAACCCTAGCTACTAAAGATGCCCACAACACTCTGGAGGTCAGATGGGGGCAGTAGAAAGAGACGTCCACTGCTTAAAATGACTTAAGCGATGCCAGACTCCTGCTCTGCTCACAGCTGGGGATGAAAGTGAGATTTAAGAACTTAGAACATCCGGAACTCTTCATTAGAAAAATGCTTTTAAATGATTGAAGTCAACTTATTAAACACATACCTGTGTTGGTGCCATCCATTCCCCCCTTATCTGTTGGCTTCTTTAGCTGAAGCAGATTTTTCCTAGCTTGGGTTTTTCCTGACCCCATTCGTCTCTTTGCAGCCCTGAAAACACACGGACAAGTGAACAAAAGAATAAATGAACAGAAAAACCCTCTTACATCAGAGAGCCTAACAACTCCCTCTGACCCATCACAGCACTCTGACTTGGGTCTGCCAGATTGCAAATAGTGCCTTGGATTCTATCCACTCTAGAGGAGAAAATAATTTGTGTATTTGTACACTCACCTTTTTCGTGCATGGCTGGATAATTTGTTTCCACTGTTATCAGTAGCTAGAAACAAACAAAGATGACAGAAAATTAAGAAACTGGTAACAGGAGGAGGACAAACAATAGGATGATGTCCTTATGTGCAAAAGACTACTCCTGCTCCTGTTTTCTCTGCCAGCTCAGGACTCCAGCACCCTGTCTTGCTGAGCCAGCCACTCCTGTCTGGCTCTAACACAGACCCAGGGTCTGAATCACTTGTCCCAAAGCTGCAGGTTTACCTGAAAACAGCTCACAGTAGCGTGCTTGTCTCTAGCACTCAGATGCCCAACTCCCAATGGGGTCTAAACCCAGATAAATTTGTTTTACCCTGCATAAAGCTTATGCAGGGCAAACTCATAAATTGTTTGCCCTTTATAACACTGATAGAGAGATATGCACAGTTGTTTGCTCCCTCAGGTATTAATACATACTCTGAGTAAATTGCTAAATAAAAAGTGATTTTATTAAATACAGACAGTAGGATTTAAGTGGTTCAAAGTAGTAACATTTGTTAGTCTCTAAGGTGCCACAAGGTGCCACTCCTGTTCTTTTTGCGGATACAGACTAACACGGCTGCTACTCTGAAACCTGTCCTTATTTAAAAGCCCTTACAGGTGTGACTGCGTGTGGGGAGTGTGTGTGTGTGTGCGCGCAGAAAATGATACGGAAACAAAGACACTTACCTGGCGGAAGAAATTTGGCTAATTCTACCTCTGCTCCCTTCTGTTTGCGGGCTTTGCGCCCTGGGCCACGTTTTTCCTTCCTCAGTACATCAAGTTTGCGCCCCATAGTACTGTTCACTCTGTGGGGTAAGTAAAGGAAAAGGAAGGAAGGAAGGAAAATGAGATAAAAGAAAACAGAACAGACCCCACGCACACACATTTACTCATATGGCATGGCAACCTCAGGGGTGATTCCTTTAGGACAGTAGTTCTTCCAACTACCTGTCTCTGTCTGTCTCTAACACAGTGGTTCTCAACCAGGGGTACATGTGCCCCTGGGGCTACACAGAGGGCTTCCTGGGGGTACTTCAACTCACCTAGATATTTACCTAGTTTTACAACAGGCTACATAAAAATCACTAGTGAAGTCAGTACAAACTAAAATTTCATACAATGAGTTGTTTATACTGCTCTATCTACCATACACTGAAATATAAGTACAATATTTATATTTCAATTGATTTATAATTATATGGTAAAAATCAGAGTCTCAGCAATGTTTCTGTGTGCTGTAACACTTCTGTATTTTTATGGCTGATTTTGTAAGCTAGGAGTTTTTAAGTGAGGTGAAACTTGGGGGTACGGAAGACAAATCAGCCTCCTGACAGGGTAGTCTAGGAAGGTTGAGAACCACTGATCTAACACACTCCCCGTTCTAAGGTGTCTCTGGTTAAACCCCATCCCCCGTAACTCGTTTCTGAGCTCTCAAATCTCGCTGCCCAGAAACCACTTAGCTCAAGGTCTTCCCCAAACCCTCAGCCCTCCCGACCAGCCTCAGAGTGTTTCCCAGTTCAGACACAAGGAGCCCGCGGCTGGATCCCCCACTTCACGCCCCCTCCCCCCCAAAGGGCCGAGCTCTGCTGGAGCTTTCACCCCCAAGTTACCACGCCCGGCACGCCTGCACAAACCCCGGCCTCCCTACCCGCGCACGCTACCCCAGCTCCGAGCCAGGCTGGGGAGTGTGGACACGGGCAGAGCATCGGGCCCGAAGAGAACAGCAGCAGCCGTAACCCCACACCTACCTTCCGGCCCCACGTGCGCAGCGGCCACTTCCTGAGAAAGTCTTTGCGTAGCTTTCTCTCCACGCAGGCTCAGCCCGGCTCCTCCCTCGCCCTGGGATTGGCCAGACGCTTCTCCTCCTGCCACCCCGCCATTGGCTAGAATCGTCTCCTCCTACCCACTGATTAGGCAGCCGGCCCCCCGAACACACCCACACCCCTTCTTCCTCCAGCCGAGAAGTGAGGCGTAAGCAAAGCCCCTTACCGCAGTGGGGGTTGTTTGACTCGTTTCGGACTAAGGTAGGTGTAAATCTGGAGTGCAACCGCGATTCCAGAATAATTCCATGTGTCAGACCAGACAGCCGTAAAAGCTGCAGGCTTAGTTTACCCTGCAAAGTTAGGGCAGTATTGGTGTCAAGCAGGGTTCTAGAGAACCCCCGCTGTTGGCCTAGCTAGGCTAACCCCAGCCATGTCAAGGGAAGAGGCTTTATTGACTTACCCAGCTGTTTGGGGAGGTGATGTACTTACATTCACAGAAAGTTGTGGCAGCATAGGCTCCAGCTACATAACACAGCTAAGCTGCTCTAGCTCTGCTGGCAGAGGCTCTATGGCATAGATTTACCCCATTTGTTCAAACGTGCCTTAGGCTACCATTGCAGGAGCCTGTATTGACTTAAGCTCCTTTACATTCACACATGCCTTCTGGAGCTTTAAGCTCAGATTTTTCTAAACAGGGGGTAGAGCTAAAATCTTTACTATTAGACAGTTGAGAGTGTGCTGTATTCACTTCTGTCCAAACATCACATACACCTCTACCCCGATATAACACAGCCTGATATAACACAAATTCCGATACAACACGGTAAAGCAGTGCTCCAGGGAGGGCAGGGCTGCGCACTCCCATGGATCACAGCAAGTTCGATACAACGTGGCTTCACCTTTAACACAGTAAGCTCTTTTGGCTCCCGTGGACAGTGTTATATCAGGGTAGAGGTGTACAATAAGATTAACAGAAGTTATGAGATAGCAACACTTATTTGTCCCAACTGCTCCAGAATTTTTTTTTGGGGGGGGGGGTAAATGTGCACACTTATGTATTTATTTGCCAGATCAGAACAAATTACCACACTCTGCTCCAAAAATGGCAAGGTGGGGCACTATCAAGCCTAAGTCTGGCCCTGCTAAAAGCCGAGCCAAGCAGGCAGCTCTGGCCAGGCCTGTGCTGATAGCAGTAGCCCTAGCAGCACATGACTCAATATGGGGGAGAAGACAGTAGCCAGAGATCAGAGACTGGGTGTAGCTATAAAGCGCTCTATGTTTCTTACTATCACTTGGGTATGTCTACATTACAATGGGACACCTGACTCAGGGTCTCAGTTTGGGCTCCAACCACCTTGCAGGCTCCTAGAGCCCAACTATCTACACTCCAATGATACAGCCTCTTAGCCTGAGTCATCTGGCACAGAACAGCTGCAGGTTTTTAATTGTAGTATAGACATACCCCTTGTGCTAAGAGACCACTTACACTGCTCAGCATTTGTAAAGGCACAGAAATCAGGGACATGAGCACCCCAAGCCAGTAGCCAGCCTTTGACAGTTACTGAGCAGTAACGTAAATGACACAGATCTGCACTGATCACAGATTGGGCAGGAAAGGAGGTAGCAGCATCTCAGCATGCATATGAGGTTCTGACAATTTTTATGTCTTTGTGGAGCACAGAACAAGGCTTATGCTACAGGATACCAGGGACCCACCCCATGCCATGCCATGCCATAGAAGGGCAAAGAAGTAGCAGCACTCCCCCAGAGATTGCTTGTTTATCTCCTGCTATTTCCTCCCCACAACTTCTTGGCACAGCTACTAAAGACAGCAGAATAAAATACAAGGAAACCTTTATTTTTCAGTTTTATCAAGATTTTTTTCATCTTTTTTAGCTGTTTATTAGTGGACAAGTCCAGTCAGTTTTTGTATTAAAAACGATCTTGATGGAGGTAGCTGTGTCTCTGTCCTGGCTTTTGCTTGGTCTCATCTGTACACTCATCTCAGTAAACAAACTCAAAATAAGATTAAAACAAAAAACATGGAACTTCAGGCTGAGGCAGCGAGCAGTGCAGCCAGGATTCTGTGTAACAGGACGTGGCGCTGTGGCCTCCAGTCACTATGTACAGAGTCCATCATGTCCCCTCTAGCCCCGGCACACTCCTTGCTTGTGTGGGCTGGCAGCAGAGGGAGGAGTCTCCTCTCCCCCAGGGAGGCCTGTGCAGCAACGTCCACCAAGGGGAACAGCACCCGATCAGGAACGTCAGGCAGAGGAAGGGTAGAGTGTGAAGAAGGATCATTTCAACTTGGTCAAGAAGCCAACAGTACCAAGCCAGGGACTCATTGCTGCTGGGCCACCTGTGGGGTGAAAGAACGTGTGTTAGGAGCCCTTACTGACAGCATCCGTCCAGCTGGGACACTCCCGTGGGTCCCACTCCCTCCCGATAAACGACCAGATTGGAGTGGGGTGGATTAAGCTCCAAGAGGGATAGGGATCTCTACCGGCTGGGGGCGGGGAGGATGCTTACCTGCTGGGGAGGTGGTGGGGGAGGAGGTTCGCTGCTGCGGTTGGCCAGTCGACTAAGGATGTTGCGCTCAGACATCTGGAGGCGCACAGCCACAGGTGGGATGCGGGCAATGGTGGCAGGCAGCCGAGTCACATCTGCCTTCATGTCACTCAGAAGCTCCTCCAGCTGCTTCAAAACTGGAAGAGAAAGAGGTGTGGATTTAGAGGGGGAGGAGAAGGGGAAAGGGGCACCCTGGCAGGGGGAAAAACAGGTTGGGGGGATAGCGGCACGAAACAAGCCCACCTTTGCTCAGTATGATCTGCCTCACCTTTGTGAAGAACAGCATTGGCTGGCTTGTTCCCAGCCATTGACTCCTTGGACAGGTGCTGGTGGCTCTCTGCCAGACATTCCACCTCAGCAAAACGTGTATTGAGGGCCATAGACGGGTGTGATGGATCTTCCGACATGTTCAGATAGGCAGCTCGCCGCAGCTGCTCCTCAATCACCAGTGCCTGCTCCAGCAGCTGAGAGAGAAAGGATAAGCATGAGAGCCTTGCCATGCCTCCTCCAGTTATTACCTGCAGAGCAGCCTACCAATCACACCTTCCTACTCCCCCAGATTCTAAGATTTACCTTCTGCCAACATCCCCGCCCCATCTTCTCCAGCCTGAACTACTGCAGCTTCTTCCCTTAGCCCCATTTCTCAGGCTCTTATTTATATTGGGGGTAGTGTCTAGAAATGCCAGTCAAGGATCAGGTTCCCACTGTGTTAGACACGGTGCACAAAGAACTAGTCCTGTCCCAGAACAAAATCATCTCCTAAGCATCCTGTCCTCCATGCAACTATAGCTCACTTTTTCAGGGACTGTTCCCTCAGGTACCGTCACGGTTTTATCCTCTTTATCCCTTGAAGGAGCAAATAGACCACAAGAACAAATTCACAGTGGGTGTTCCCTGAAGGACCTTCAGGCTGTTTCTTCCCCCAAAACCCCAGGAACAAATGCTCCTAAGAGAACAGTGGCCATTTTCCTGCTTTCCAGTACGCAGAGCAGTCTGGGACAGGTTTTCATAGTAATTCAAATCAGAAAAACAAGCATGCTAACAAAACCAAGATAAAACAAAACAAATCCAGTTCTTGTGTAGTCTCCAAGGGCATGGCTAGGCTAGAAGAAAAATGGTTTTATTGAAGCACTGGTTAACTTGTTTTAGAGCCCTACTGTAGTAGGGTGACTACAACATGCACTATCTACGCTAGAATTCTATAATGTGTTCAAACATGTTTTAAAATTATTTTAACTTAGTCTAGACATACCCTGAGTGGGCTGTAATACCAAGGAGCTTGAGGGTGGAGAAAGGGAGGGGGAAATTTAAAAAAAAAAAAAAAGAGCCATCCCACCCCTTTGATGCTAAAGCACTCCCAATCCACTTCATAGGTTCTCCTGCAATCAGGGAATAGAACAGTGGACAAGCATGAAAGACAGCAATGCTCTTTATCCATCAGAAATAGTCTCAGAGGCAGACACCCTCAATTTTCCTTCTGCAGCTCCCACCTTGAACCTCCTGGCCAGGAACTTGTTCTTGATCTCCAGGAAGTTGCCCCTGTTCATCTCACCCTTGAAGGGTTCATTGAGGATGGCATAACGTGGATCATTCTGAATGTCCTGCCAGCGGGCATAGCCATGACTGAGATAGAGGAGCTCAGGCAAACAAAGGTAATGAAAACAAGGGAACACATATTCCAGGCAAATAGGATTGTATCCCATTGGGTGTGAGGGAGATGGAAGAGATGAGACTATCTTGCTCACTGTATCCTAGCCACCCCTGTTAAGATCCCCACATGGAGCGGTGATCTTGGTTGGGGTGGGTAAATATGAGGCTATCCCACTAACTATATTCCAGTCACCACTTGGGAAGATCCCCTTTATGGGGATGGGTCAGACTCCCAGAAAGGAAAAGGGTGTTCTGTCAGGGGAAGGATACTTGATGATCCCAGCCAAGAGCCAATAGTCATGGCGCCGGTGCCAGATCTCGTAGGTTTTCTTGGTGACAGTTGCTGCTCGTTCTTCATTTTGCCATAGAGAATGCAACTCTGAGAATGGGAGAAAAGAAAGAAAGTCAAAATGGATTTCACTAAGATGAGCAGTGGCAGAGTAAGTGTAGCTGCACTGAGGCCCCTCATACCAGTGAAGCCACCATCAGCTATGTTGAACATGAAGCGCTGCTTCACTGCCTTCTTGTGCCTCTCATCAAGAGAGTCCTTCAGCATCTCCCCGTTCTGCAGCATCACCACATCCCTCTTGTCATCTTCCTTCTTCTCCTCTGCAGACACAGGGACCCATTAGAGAGAAAAGTAGAGTATCACAGCAGCTGCACTCATGAGGTACCCCTCTAGAAGGTGGAGAATGAAGAGGGCTGGCAGTACTCTGCCACACTCACCCTTCTCATCCAGGTTGATAGTTGGAGGTTCAGCAGAGGGCTCAGACAACACTCTATCTTCAATCTTCTCCACATCAGCTGCATGAGAAAAAGGGAATAGAAGCCATGAGATCAAGTCTGGTAGCTACAGAGGGTTTAACTGTTCAGTCTAAAATCTGGTCTGTTTCCCCAATCACATTTATGTTTAAAGCCTCACCCTGACCAAAAGAGGATAGCATGTTTCCAGAGCTGTACAGAGACTAACTGGGGTCCTGCACACAGTTCTGGGCTTCCAACAACCTCCACTAATACCTTTGCTTTCCATTTCCATTGGCTCCTCCTTCACCTCTGGTTCCTCAGGCTTTTTCTCCTCTGCTTCTGGGGGGTTCATTGGGGACTTTGCCTCTTGTGGGGGTGTCTCCACAGGCTGGGCACACTGCTGATGAGAGAAACCCTGTTAACTCAAGGAGGAGCAGCGTATGGACAAAGCCTGTGAAACCCCACCCACCAGCAGAAGCTGAAGGCAGGGTGAAAGTGTGCCACACAGAGGGTAGCTGTGGGAGAACAGAGTGTCAGAGCACAAAATAGGGCTCCTTCATACCTCTACAGAGTGTTAACAAGGAGATGCATTCTTCTTAGGAATCCCCAGAATCTAGCTCTGTCCCAGGCGGGCAGGGGAGGAGAACGGGACAGGACAACACCACAACAACGGGCACAGCAGAAGAAGAAGAAGGAGATATCTGTAACAGTATGAAACAAACAAGCACCTACTAACTCACCTCCATTGGGACCTCTGCTTCAGCAGAAGCTAGGTTGGGTTCCTTCTCAGACTCCATGGGCTCCCCTTGCTCCCTGGTACTGGCTCCTTCTTCCACCTTCACACCCTCTTCTGTGCCTCCCACACCCAAGACCAGCATATTTGTATATAAATAAAAAAATAAAAATAGAGACCATCAGTAAGCTCTGACCTTCATTGCAATTTGGTGCACCTTTCCCTTAGCTCCCACAAAGTGGACCTCCAACCCAACTTGAACCACAATGGGACCAAAGTCCTCAGAACCCACAGGACAGCTGCAGGAATTGCCTGTTGGCCCCAGCCCACCCAGGGAAAGGCAATGTTCTCTCTTGCCTTTAAGGGCATGCACATCTTTTGGGGGCAGCCCTCCTAACCTGAGAGGCAGGTTGATCTGCGTCCGCCCCCAGGTCCTCCCCACCACAGCTCTGGTGAGGGGAACAGCACTGGTAGGGGCAGGACACGGGGCAATGCAAGGGGAAGGCTCTCACCAAGTGGAGGTGCAGGGGCAGGTGTGTTAGGCTGCGTGTCCCCTGGCGTGGAGGGTGTGGGGGTTTTGGGGGAGGGCGAGCCCGGCTGCAAAAGCTTCTTGTTCTCCTCTATCTCTGCTAGTTCTGGCATACTCCAGCGCCCATTCACATGCTCAAATTCCTGCACCTGGCAGGGGAAGTGGAGAAACAGACATGTCATGGGAGAGATCACACTAAGCTGCCCCTCTAAGCAGGGTAGATGGGGATCTCAAGACATCACAGGCTGGGGAGTCCCCAAAGATGGGTGGGAGAGGAAGAGAGCAGCCACTGGTTTGTCCACTGCATACAAGAGCTCAGGGCTTCTGTGATAAGAGGACCTCTGAGGAGAAAGGGATGATGTGTGGTGGAGGGAGAGTTCAGCATTGCTCCACTAAGCACCCACCTTTTTGCGTATGAGTGACATGACTCCAATGCGGGTGAGGACATGCTGGCGGGACAGCCCCTCCCGTGGGACCCCATCTGCGAAGGTCTCCGCACCATCTGCTCCCGGCTCACATAGGTGACGCATGAACAGCGAGACATAGGCCCTGTAGCAGTATTAGATCAGCCTTAAAGGTCCAACAACATGTGGAAAAAGATGCCCTGGGGCTCCCAGTCCCCAGTGACCCAAGCAACAGTCTCCTGGCTCAGACCCGTAAATACTCTGGGATAGTTCCTGAGCTCCTTTCCCTTGGTTCAGTTTCCCCTTCTGTTATTCCTCCTCAGCCTCCCCAAACAGGCTTCTTGCCCCTGCAGCATGCAGCCCCTTTTACCGCTTGAGCCCTCTGCTACTATTCTCACCCTTTCCCAGTGGGTTCAGATGCCACCACCTCCCTTCCCTTGCCCAATGCAGACTCACTTGAACTCCTTCTCAGACTTGCCACGCAGGTCCCGGACAAGCCACTGGGTGGTGAAGGCATCCTGGGGTGGCATCCCATAGCGCATAATGGCATTAAGGAAGGCTTTGCGCTGGCGGGCATTGAAGCCCAGCACCTGGAAAAAGAAAGGACAGGTATAGTGAGAGCCCCAGGCACAAACACATGGACTCAAAGGCCCTTTCCAGGGTACCACTTACTTCAATGTTCCCTCCCACACGGGCAAGAAGGGGAGGCAGGGGCTTATCTTTGTCATTTCTCAGGCCTTTGCGACTGGGCCGGCGAGCAGCTGGAAGAAAGACAAGCAGGTAAGAGGTACACAACCTAGCATAGTGAGAACATTCACTCATGACATCCTACGTTACATGGAGAAGGACTGGAGCACCAAGCTCCCAAGCCAAGGTGTCCTGACTGCCTCCTCCCAGAGAGAATATTGCCCAGGCTCCTGGGGCATCTACCTTCAGATCTCTCATCAAAATCCTCATCGCCTTCCTCAGAGGCCACTGAATAATCCGACTGGTTATCTGACTGGTCATCCTGCCAATCTAGAGAAGGAGAAAAAAAAAGCGTGAGAGCCTGACAGACCCTATCCTTACAGGTCCTGTTCTCCCCAGCCCCACAAAAAATCCCTGTGGGTGTCCCTTCTGTACCTCTGTCCTCCTGGGAGCCATCATTGTAGTTGACCTGCTTGCGGATACGTTTACCCTTGCCCAGGTTCCTAGCCAGGTCCTCCTGCTGCTGCTCATAGTGGTGACGCAGCAACTTTTCCCAGTAATCGGGGTCCACTGACTCTTCTTGTTTTATGATCTCCCGCTCCACTTCCTCCTCCTCCTGCTCCAGGGACAGAGGGATAAGAGAATAGCCATGCATTCAAAACCCCCATCCCCACAGGGGCAGATACCTGCTGCTCACCCCTCCCCACCACTTTCAGATGTCTACAGCCTAGTCACATCTGTTCCTGTTTAACTCCTGCACCCTGGAACAGGAGAAGCAAGACACTCACCCCCATCTCTTCTTCCCGTACCACATACTGGGCCACCTTGAAGGAGCTGAGATACTCATTCATGCCCTGCAGCTCTGTGTCTTCAGTCTCATCCTGATTTCGGTCCAGTAGTCGCTCAATTGCTTTGTCATCGTAGTGGATGACACTGCTGTCCTCACCCTCTTTGCTATCACCTGAAAGAGAGGAGCACAGTCAGTTGGTGTTGAGACTCAAGGGGCTTTTGAGAGAGTGCCACGCAAGGCCTCTCCACGAGGCAGCATTCAGCCCTCCTGCCATTCACTTGGTGGCGGCGGGGCGGGGGGGAAAGAGAATATTCCCACTCCCATCCCTTGGCCAGCATCCCCTAGACCAGTGTTTTTCAAAGTTCGGGTTGCGACCCAGTACTGGGTCATGGCATGCAAGGCACTGGGTTGCCTTGCTCAGCACCCAGGAACCCTAGCGGCTCTGGGCAGCACCATCGACCGGGATGTTAAAAGTCCCATCGGTGGTGCTGCCCAGCTAAGGCAGGCTAGTGCCTACCTGTTCCAACACCTTGCTGCGCCCTGGAAGCGGCCAGCAGCAGGTCCAGCTTCTATGCAGGGGGGCCATGGAACTCCATGCACTGCCCCTGCCCCAAGCACCAGCCCATGTGAGCGGGGGGGAGAGGGGCGGGAGAAGGGGGAAGGAAGAGAGGTGATGCAGTGCCTGTGGGCGAGAGCCGCATGCACGGCTTCGCCCAGGAGCTGGAACTGCTGTTGGCCACTTCCAGGGTGCAGCACGGTCCACAGTGCCAGGACAGCCAGGAAGCCTGCCTCTGCGTCCCGGCTATGCTGCTGACCAGGAACCACCGGAGGTAAGTTCACACCCCAACCCCGTGTCCCAATCCCCTGCCCTCAGCTACCCTCAAACCCGGAGTCCTTCCTGCACCCCAAACCCCTCATCCCCAGCCCCGGGCCCACACCCCAACCCCCTGCCCCAGCCCAGAGTCCTCTCCTAAACCCTGAACCCCTCATTCCTGGCCCCACCCCACAGCCCTCACTCCAACCCTCTGCCCCAGAGGTGAGCACCTCCCACACCCCAAACCGCTCATCCCCAGTTCTGTTGGGTCACCGGCATCAAGAATTTTCTTCAACTGGGTCCCCGGGAAAAAAGTTTGAAAACCAGTGCATTAGACAACACCCAGGCACTCACCACCCTCAGTGGCCTCATCCTTGAAGAGCTCCTCAGTCCCAAACTTCAGGATGTCATCAAGCTCCTGCTTGGACATGGAGCCCGTCTTGGAGCCCAACCCTGGCCTCACCACCAGATGTGTTAGCATCATCTTCTTCTTCGCCACCTGAGTGATACGTTCCTCTACTGAAGCCCGTGTCACAAAACGGTAAATCATCACTTTCTTGTTCTGTCCAATCCTGTGTGCACGGCTGAAAGCCTGAGGGGAAGATGGTGTGTTCAGAACAACCCCAAAACCAAATACTATACTGCTTTACCCATCTGACCTTGTTTACATAGCCCTGATCTTCCTGGGATCTTTCACTCTCCCCTTCCATTTCCTACAGGTTACCCCTTGGGAGCAGCCTTCACTGCCAAATCATTTCCAGCCACCCCCTCTCCACTTAGTGCTTTCTTTCTCCACAGTGGAGTCTCCCCCTCCCCTGCCTGACCACATATATGCTTCCTTCTCTCCCCTCCCTCCACTCTCTCTTTCGACCCCCTCATTTCTAAGAGTCACCTATTACCATTAGTGACTCTAGTGCAATCCTACTGCCTTACCTGGATGTCATTGTGTGGATTCCAGTCGGAATCATAGATGATCACCGTGTCTGCTGTAGCCAGGTTGATACCGAGCCCTCCAGCTCGAGTGGAAAGCAGGAAGCAGAACTGCTGAGCACCAGGAGCTTCAGGAGGAGAGCGAAGGGGATGGGGAAGAGCATGCGCATTAGATTCAACTCCACAGACTCATCACATCCAGCCCCTCATGCAGGGAGGCAGTGTCAACCCAGAGGCCTAGGAATGGCATAGCAGGATGTACTGCAGATCAGCACTAAGGATTAGCAGCAGATGTGGGGCCCCAAGCATCTGTGAGGTGAGGGAGGGTTCTCGTTTTCTGTGGGGTGTATAGGGTTCCATACCATTGAAGCGATCAATGGCCTCCTGGCGCATGTTCCCTGTGATCCCACCATCAATCCGCTCATATTTGTACCCTTCATGTTCCAGAAAATCCTCCAAGAGATCCAACATTTTAGTCATCTGGGAACAAGGAGATAAAGCTGAGTAGGAAGATACCAAACTGGATTGCCGCCTCTCTCACACACAGGGTCCCCAGCCTCTGGAAGGCACTGCCCCATTACCTGTGAGAAGATGAGCACCCTGTGGCCTCCTTCCTTGAGGTTCTTCAACATCTTCTGGAGCAGCAGCAATTTCCCAGATGCTCGGATCAGGGCACTACCATCATACATCCCATTTGGCATCTTTGGAGCTTCCTGGGGGTGGAATTGAAGAGGGGGCACGTTTTCCCGTAGATCTCGGACTCACACGCCATGGTGGTGCTCAGCACCATCATCTTTTGTGCACTGGTATCTTGCCGTTTGACTCCTACACTCCCATTCCATTTTTCTCTCTTCCCACCCCTTTCCCTCATTGCATCTTCCCCTCCCTACCTCTCGTGGCCCCTGCAGGGAGACTCCCTCTGCTTGCCACTTGGCAGGGGCTGCAGAGGGAAATGAAGGAAGGGCCTACAAACATTTCAAGCCCAAATTAAGGGGAAGGATAGCTGCTCCAGGTGCAAGGAAGTTCAGGCTCACCCCCAAGTGAATGGTAAGGGGCCTTGCTCAGAGGAGGATTGAGGGGCTAGAACATACCATAGCAGCAACAGGAAAGAGGTAGGGGTGATTACAACATTTCTTCAGATCCATGACCACATTGAGCAGGGAGACTTGGTTGCCACCACCTCGTGCATTCAGTGCCTCAAAGTTCCTTGTCAAAATGTATTTATAGTATTTCCTGTGAAGAGAGAATCTGAGTCACTAAGCCCCCATCATAAAAAGGGCAGATAAACCCGCCCCCCCCACCAGCTAGCATCAGTCCAGCTCCTGGCACTACCTGGGCAATTCTTCCCTGCTAGCGCTACCTATACTCTGCCAATGGTCAGTCATTATCTCTCCATCTCCTACATGAGTGTGTAAGATTATTTCTCCCTGGCAGCAGCAGCAAGAATTCTTGATCCCACCCAGCATGTCCAAAGCATATGGACCTAGAGAAGGCATAAGTTGGTCTCAAGTAGCTCCTCCACCCTCCCATGCTCACTTCTGCATGGGGCTCAGCTCCACCCGGACGATGAGTTCTGTCTTGGAGGGCATGTTCTTGAAAACATCAGCCTTGAGGCGCCTCAGCATGTGTGGGCCCAGCATATCATGCAGCTTCTTGATCTGATCCTCCTTGGCAATGTCTGCAAATTCTTCCAGGAAGCCTTCCAAGTTACTGCAGGAGAAACAAGCACTCAGGGCAGAAGATGCAGGTCCATGGGGAGACAAATGGGGTGGGGGAAGGAAACAAGGAAGCAGACTCAGTCTGGGCCTGCATTACAAGACATACTGGAATCTCTCAGGTGTCAGGAAGTTGAGCAGGTGGAACAGTTCTTCTAGGTTGTTTTGCAGAGGGGTTCCTGTGAGCAGTAGCTTGTGCTGGAGGGAATATCCATTCAACACCCGGAAAAACTGGGGAAGAAAAGAAAGGAAGGGAGTCAATGGACTCATCCAGGTAGTCTGCTGGTCCCCCTTCCCAACACAAGATACTGTGCCATGGAGGAAAATTCCTTCCAGAATCAACCCTTCAAGCCAGGGCTCATCTTAGATTACAGGGACAGTTTGTGCAAGAGTCCTACGTACTGGACCTCCTGGCTAGTGTCAGAGGCTGATCTCATTCACACATTGCCTAATACTCAGTCCTCAGACCCGCCTGGGTGAGACCCTGCTGCAGCAAGTTCCCACAAATCAGATGCTGCACATTTCCTTTATGTGTCTTGAACTGCAGACCCTTCCAGCCAACCAGCCTTCTCCAGACTGACATATCCACTCTACCTCCTCCTGAACTGGAGTCCTACCATCCTTCAGCCTCCCTCCCTTTCAAAGAGTTTAAGAGACCTGGCCAAGTAGATCTATTACTGGCAATTTTTAATTAATTGTGAATACTAGGGAAGTTCCAGAGAACTGGGGGGGAAAACATTAAGGTTGTGCTAGTATGTATAAGCAGTAAAAATGGGTTGACCCAGCTAACAGACTGGTTATCCCAACAATCAGTCCCAGGCAAAAACATGGGAATGCTGATATGGTACTCCAAATTAAACAAGTATTTATGCCAGTCAACATGGTTCTATGAAAAATAATGTCAGACAGACTTGATACTTTGAGATTAAGTTTAGTTGACAAAGGTAACTGTTCACACAGTATACTTTCACTTAGTACTACATAGCACTGATTAAAAAGTTAGAAGTATAACAAGTCAATGTAGCCCATCTGAAATGGATCAGAAACAGTCTAAAACAGATCTCTAAATGTAGTTAGTAGGGTGTCATTCTAATGGGGATTTCTTTTGAATCCCACAGGGATCTGTTGTTGGTTTACAATTATTTAATAGCTTTATTGTCTGGGAGAAAATATGAAATTGCTGATTAAGTTTGTAGATGACAGTTTGGTGGGGTTGTAAATCATGGGAACATCATTCATACAGAACAACCTGGCTTGCTTGGTAAACTGGGCACAAACATGCATTTTAAAATACCCAAAGGGAAGGTCATACATGTAGGAATAAAGAACAGTCCCCCATCCTATAAGTATAACCAATAAAGATTTGGAGGTCATGGTGAATAATAAACCAGCTTCCCAGTGAAATGCAGTGACTAAGAGGACGAACATGATCCTTTGTACGAACAGGAATATTTAACAGATATGGGCAAGCTAGTAATACTTCTATATGCAACATTGATGAAAATGTCATTGAAGTAGTGTCCAACATCAGTGTTCACACTTCAAAAGAGATGTTGAAAAATTGGAAAGCATTCAGAAGACACCTACAAGGGTTGAAAAACCCAGCCTTACAAGGAAAGCCTTTGAAGCTAAATCTATTTAGCTTAGCTGAGAGGTAAAGAGGTGACTTGATCATGATCTAGAAGAACCTACATAAAAGGAGAAGATTTCCAATAGGAGAGGGCTTTTTTTTTTTTATATTAAAGAGTCAAAGACGTAAGATCCAATGGCTATAAGTCAAAGCTAGTTAATTCATACTGGAAATAAGGCACAAGTTTTTGAACAATGAGCCCGTGAGAACATCTTGCAAGGTATGTGTTAGATCGGGGTGGGCAAACTTTTTGGCCCGAGGGCCACATCGGGGAATAGAAATTGTATGGCAGGCCATAAATGCTTACAAAATTGGGGTTGGGGTGCAGGCTCTGGGGTGCGGCTGGGGATGAGGAGTTTGGGGTGTAGGAGGGTGCTCTGGGCTGGGATTGAGGTGTTTGGAGCGCAGGAGGGGGACTCAGGGCTGGGGCAGGGGGAGAGGCTCAGGGAGTGCAGGCTCTGAGCAGCACTTCCCTCAAGCAGCTCCCGGAAGCAGCAGCATGTCCCTTCTCTGGCTCCTAGGCGGAGGCATGGCCAGGCAGCTCTGCACGCTGCCCCATCCATTGGAGCGCATAGGAGCCACAGTGGTACCATGTTGCGGCTTCCGGGAGCCGCGTGGTGCCACTCCCAACCCTACGCCCAGGCCGGAGTAGGGCTAAGCCACATTGTGCAGCCCCTGACCCAGCACCCCGGCCAGAGCGGGGCCGAGCCGCACGGTGTGGCTCGAGGGCTGTAGTTTGGCCATCCCTGTGTTAGATTCTTTTATCACATGAAGTCCTTAAATCAAGATTGGATGTCTAAGGGCTGGTCTACGAATAGCGTAGCTGAAGTCAAAATATCTTGGATCAAATTACCTGGGGTCCACGCGGCTCCCCCGTTTACTGCGCTACCGCCGCTCACTCTGGTGGAGTTCCGGAGTCTACGGTGAGCGCGTTCGGGGATAGATATATCACGTCTTAACGAGACGAGATATATCGATCCCGGATAAATCGATTGCTACCCGCCAATACAGCAGGTAGTGAAGAGGTACCCTAAGACATTACGCAGCTCATCTGAGAACATGGGCTTGATCAGGAATTACTGGGTGACATTCTCTGGCTTGTATTATGCAGGAGATTAGGCTAAAACAATGGTCTGCCCTTAAAAAAAAAAAGCCTATAATTCCACCCCCTTCAACCTCCTGCCATCACTCCAGAACTCCTTTTGTACCTTAGATTGATTGTTCTTGAGCCGGTGAGCTTCATCCACAATAAGACAGGCCCAGTCAATGGAACCCAGAATGGCCATATCAATTGTGATCAGTTCATAGGAGGTGAGCAGCACATGGAACTTCACAGATGCTTCCTTCTGCAAGGAAAAATGAGAGAGTTTAGCCATAGGGGAACAGGGAAGTATAGGTACAGCCCCAGGCCAAAGCAGCAAGAGGAGGACCTGCCTCTGCATCAGGCTGCCCTGACCATTCATTATCATTCAAGGCTTCAAGAGTCAAGGTGTTAATATCAGGCACTGAGGTAGTTCCAACTTGGACAAATCCATTTTACCTCCTTAGCAGCCACGGTCAGTTAGATACAGGATTCTCCTCCACAAGTTAATGTTTAAGGAGGCCAGGCCTCATTCCAGAAGAGTCTACTGTTTAGAAATGGGTGAAGAGAGGGAAGGAGAATGCTAGGGAAATGGACAATTACTAAAGAAGAACTTGGAGGGGCGGGGTGAGAATGATATGGCCAGAGAACTAAATCCATTCCATACAACTCTGATTAGTTGAAATTGTTTCAATGCTGCCTGGAGCTTCATGGAGGAGAAGTAGTTGTCAACATGGTTCTCATTTTCACTGCCACTCACAGTGAAAGCAGAGGAATCCAAGCTTCCCTATACTGCTGTGGAAGCTTTGAGCAGCAACATCACCCCTACCAAGCTGCCTGTCTGTAGGCTTGGCAAGCAAGCAGTCAGTTTAAAGGCTCTTTTCAATTAGAATGTTCAAGAGGTTATTTACTGGGAAAGCTGGAATGCTGCAGAAACTAACAGCTGTGGTAAGGAAGGTTCTTTATCAGGGAAAGGGGGCAAGGGGGGGGGGGGGAAGGAGGAGAGGGGGAATTTTCAGTCAGGTTGCACGAATGTCAGAGGAACTGGCCCTGTCAATGGCTCTACATGGAGTCAGAGCTTCAGTCTCTGAGTTTACTATTTCGCTCTTATCTAGTGCTATAGATCTCAAATTCCTTTACAAAGTAAGGTCAGTGTCATCCACCTCACAGATGGGGAAATGGAGGCAGAGAGAAGGGACTTGCTTAAGGTCACACAGTGAGTCAATGACAGATCCAGGAAGCCCTAGTCACAACCTCCCTTATTTACTACTGAACTTGGAGTGGAAATGTCTACAACACGAGCAGCACCTGTCCTACCAGGAATCTGATGGAGAACTTATTTCACAGAGGATTGCCCACCAGCCCTCAATTAGCAACCACTTTCACAGCCCAGATCAGAACCGGGTTTCTAGAGTCCTCATATTCCTGAATTCTCAACTCTCAGAAATGAGCCAGCATGCTGTAACTGGGGTTTAACTGGAATCAATTTCAGGCTCTTTACCTTCATCCTGGATGCCTTCTTGCCCCCACGTATGGCATTGTCCTCAAAGGAGAACTCATTCTCCCGGATGATGGCCCGGCTGTCCTTGTCCCCAACGTAGGTCACCACATACATGTCTGGAGCCCACATCTCAAACTCCCGCTCCCAGTTGATAATTGTGGAGAGTGGGGCACTCACCAGAAAGGGTCCCTTTGAGTGGCCCTGGGGACAGAGTCATCAGGAGTGTTACAGAACTGCATCCCACCAGGGCAAGAGAGCATTCCCACAGATATGTGCATATCCTCAGCCACTTTTGATCCTCACCTCTTTGTACAGAGAGTACAGGAACACAGCTGTCTGCACTGTCTTGCCCAGCCCCATTTCATCAGCCAAGATTGTGTCTGTGCCCTGGGCCCAGGAGAAGCGCAACCAGTTCAGCCCCTCCAGCTGATAGGGGTGCAATGTCCCTCCTGTTACATCAAGGTACTCTGGCTGCCGGTCATACTTCACCGTTGGCTATAGTAGAAGGAGAAAAATGTTGAGTCCCTTTGCACCAATCAGACAAAAATCAGCCACCAAGACTTCTGTTTCCTATGCACTGGGCTCCAGCTTATGCCTCCCTAGTTCAGGCACAGTTGAGACAGTGGCAGGACAAGCCCCCATGCCATGTGTCTCAACTGGCCCTGAATGGCATCCCATCTGAAGAGCTCAACTTTGGAAACCAAACCCTCCCTATGACAAGTCAGCCAGTGCCCCTCCCCAAATGGCAAGGTAAAACTAAGTTTGAAGGTTCTGTATCCTCTTCCCTTCCTCTTTAACCCAATAAGGGGGCTCTCTGGAGACCGTATCCTTCTGCCTTCAGCTTAGTAATTTACTGATGTGTAAGAGTCAGATGCACCAGCTGGCATCACTAGTGGGAGTGAAAGAAACATGCTTCACACTCTTCCCCTGTAGATGCAGGTATCCCACACATCCCAGAACCCACTCGCCTCCCTAACAGGGAGCAGTAACTTACATCCACCGTGGGTGTGTCTGGGGGTCTTTCCAGCTTCCGCATCTTCACCTTCTTTATCTTCTTGCCAGGCCGACCCTCTTCACCTCTCATCAGCTCCCTGTATAAAGATATTCTTTGGGTGTGGGTGGGGCTATGTGAGTTGAATGGAATTTGCAGGAGACACCAAATGAGGAGGGGCTGCAAATAGCAAGGAGGATAATCATCCAAAGTGGCCAAGAGACGAGCCAACCCTGAAACACACTGCAAGGCAGGCACAGGGCCACTGCTTTAAGGAAAAGGAGTCAGTAGGGGCAGAAGGATTCCTTGATCCCCTTCATCCTACCAATCCTGCAGTTCAGGAAGATCCCCCACCCCACCTCCTTACCTGTGATTCCAGTAGGCCTGTTTGTAGAGGTCATAGTCCTGCACCTCCACATCCTCACTCTCCCAGGAGGCCTGGTCATAGGGCAGGTCCCTCCATTTAATCAGATAGTGGACATTCCCCTTCTTATCCACACTGCAGAGAGAGAACAATAAATCTCAAGCGTGGGAACCAGCCTTCACCCAGCCCACCCCTTGCACATGGGGGAAGGAAGGAAGGTAGGAAACAGAAGGGGTAGGGGTAAGAGAGCAGCTATGTCCATAATCCCCAGCATAATTGAAATCAAATCTCCAATCCCACCCTTTCCTACAAAAAAGGATCCAGTTGATCCCATCATAAAAGGAACCCTGCCTTTATCTATAGTGGATGATCCACCTTCTTTCTGCCAAGCGTGACCAATATTTGTGGTTAGGGTCTCAATGGATCTTATCACAATAGGTCCTCCCCTCCCGTGATGGAGAATTCAGTGGATCCTATTCCGTCCCCTTAGTCATGCTTGACACTCTTGAGAAAGCCCCCCCACTATCTCTGTAGGCTGGAATCCACTGGATCTTGCTGTGACAAATCCTTGCTCCCTCCCTCACCTGTGGTTGAGGATCCGGTGGATCATCATCCACTCAGGCTTGATCCCATAGCGATAGAAGCGCTCCTCCATCTCAGCAAACTTGGGGTCCTTGTTCTTTCGCTTGCGGCTCTTCTCCTCCTCACCACCAAAGTCCCCTGAGGGTGGCTCATCCATATCATTCTTGCGTTGGTAATTTCGGAACATCACTTGGCAGTGCAGCTCCAGCTGGAGCCAGAACAGACATATATGGTTAGAGTGGCATCACACATCCCTCCCACCTCACAAAGGTAGTGGTCCACTCCCTAGGCAAGCCAAGAGCCCACTAACCTGCAGCTCAGACACCCATGAACAGTGCCAATAGGACATGCCCTGCCATTTGACGAAGAACTGCCGCTCAGGCCGGCCCTCCAGGGGTTTGGGGGAGGGAGTGTTAGGGTCTGCATCAGCTGGTCGGGGCACTGGTGTGGGTAGTGGGGGCTGGCCCCACTTCCAGATCAAGATCTTCTGCACCTTCCCCTTCAGAGATGGGCACTGGAGAAGTGAGACAGAGGTGGTTATGCCAGAATTTAATACAAACAACCCCAACTTCCCCCCAGCATTTTTCTGAACTTTTGCCAATTTGTCATTTTTCCAGGACAATGGGTAGTGATCAATGGCTCCATGTCTAGTTGGCAGCCGGTATCAAGCAGTGTGCCCCAAGGGTCAGTCCTGGGGCTTCCCCCCCCCCCATATCTTCATTAATGATCTGGAGGATGGCATGGACTGCACCCTCAGCAAGTGTGCAGATGACACGAAACTGGGAGGAGTGGTAGATACGCTGGAGGGTAGAGACAAGATACAGAGGGACCTAGACAAACTAGAGGATTGGGCCAAAAGAAACCTGATGAGGTTCAACAAGGACAAGCGCAGAGTCCTGCGCTTAGGACAGAAGAATCCCATGCACTGCTACAGACTAGGGACTGAATGGCTAGGCAGCAGTGCTGCAGAAAAGGACTTAGGGGTTACAGTGGACAAGAAGCTGGATGAGTTGAGAGTGTGCCCTTGTTGCCAAGGCAGCTAACAGCATTTTGGGCTGTATAAGTAGAGGCACTGCCAGCAGATCAAGGGACGTGATCTTTCCCCTCTATTTGACATTGGTGAGGCCTCATCTGGAGTACTGTGTCCAGTTTTGGGCCCACACTACAAGAAGGGTGTGGAAAAATTGGTAAGTCCAGCAGAGGGCATCAAAAAGGATTAGGGGGCTGGAACACATGACTTATGAGGAGAGACTGAGGGAACTGGGATTGTTTTAGTCTGCAGAAGAGAAGAATGAGGGGGGATTTGATAGCTGCTTTCAACTACCTGAAAGGGGGTTCCAAAGAGGATGGATTTAGACTGTTTTCAGTGGTACCAGATGACAGAACAAGGAGTAATGGTCTCAAGTTGCAGTGGGGGTGGTTTAGGTTGGATATTTGGAAAAAGTTTTTCCTCTCGGAGGGTGGTGAAGCACTGGAATGGGTTACCTAGGAAGGTGGTGGAATCTCCTTCTTTAAAGGTTTTTAAGGCCCGGCTTGACAAAGCCCTGGCTGGGATGATTTAGTTGGGAATTGGTCCTGCTTTGAGCAGGGGGTTGGACTAGATGACCTCCTGAGGTCCCTTCCAACCCTGAGATTCTATGATTCTAGGACAGAGGAGCCCTTAGCAGAGTGCAATGTTCCTGGGGCAGGCGGGGGGACAGGTCCGGCCCTCCTGCTGATTCTTGTGGGAGATGTCTTCGAGCCATACAAATCCATATAGATTCTATATGGAAAACAAACTACTGGACTGGATCATCCCAGGGTCCACTTAGTCCAGTATCCTGCCAGATGGCTAGAGGACAATTATGGAAAAACCGACACAAAGGAAGTTTCTTCCTAACCGGTCAGAGGTTGGAATATGCACTGAAGCAGGAGAACTTTTATATTTCTCACTGTGGATGTTCTCAATAGCCACATATACATTTAACACCCTTTTAAATTATTTTCTTAGTGATATCTTGTGGCAGTCTATCCCAGCTCTGTTCTGGAATGTGAGGCCTCTGCATATGCCACCAAATCTGCAGCCCACATAGATAATTCACACCCCACTGCAGGGTGCTGGAACAATTTGTATAGTGGGGGTGCTGAGAGCCATTGAACCAAACTATAAAGCCTGTATATAATGGAAACCATTTCAAGCCAGGGGGTGCTGCAGCACCCCCAGTTCCAGCACCTATGCCCTACTGATAATGAACTTAGCTAAATGAACAATTTTTGTCAGCTCTAATACTTTAGGATTGAATAGTTTAAACCATAGCCTTTGTTCTCAGACATGTTCAGGGGTCCAGGAAAGTTGGAGCCTCAGGTCCCTGGAGCCATGTCCATGGAACCATTTTGCACATGGTAGCATAAGTCTGCACAACACTGGGACCCATGACCACAGAGCCCCTTTCTGAAGTCTAAATAAGGTAACCAAGCTATGAGGCACTGTAAGGCTGGAGGAGAAAGGCCCCAAACAAATAAAGACAGAAAGAAATGGGCAAGCTAGAAGAGCAGTTACATCCCTGAGGGAACTACACATCCCTGAGACAGAGAGGGATACCACTCCCTATGGAGCTGGGTCAAATGGGGGTAGCAGAGACTCACAGTGCAGCGAGGGCATAGCCATTCCCCATTAGGAATCTCTGGCAGTGGGGGATTTAGACAGTGAATGTGGTAGGAAGAGGGACAGGCATCACAGCAGAGCAGTTCCCCTCCATCCTTGCAGACCCGGCAGAACTCCATGTGGTGATCATCCTCCTCTTCAGGGTCTCCCACAACATCCTCCAGGATCTCCTCGCCTTCAGAGTTATCCTCCTTTGCCTCCCACTGGATCCCCTCCTTCTCCTACAGGAGAGAAGAAAACTATTAGCCCAGGGTATACAAAACCCCCATCTTCCTGATGCCCCCAGCCTCCCACCATCTTTTCAACTTAGCCTTCTGCAGAAACAGGGAGTACAGAACCCCCTTCCTCCATGGTTCTTCCCTTGGGTGTATAAAATCTTGTACTCACACAGTGTGGGCAGCTCCATTTGCCCTCTGGGGCTTTCTCCATGTCTGGGTCCAGGCAGACCATGTGGTAGGCACGGGGACAGGTGTCACACAGGATGATTTCTCCTCCCTGCTGACACACCTCACAGTAGTCCTGGTGATCTGTCTCATAGCCATCCACAGGAACTGTGGAGTCGTCCTCACCTGGAGAGGGTGGTGGTGACAGTTACACATCATTGGAAGCCATTGGCACTGGTAGAATTCCTTCCCGCAGCAGTGGGGATACCCCGCCACACCAAAAGGCTACATAGGAATAGAGACATTGCTCCAGATCCAGACAAAAAAAAGGCAGGGGCAGGCAGCTCTTGCTCCACAACAGTCAAGGTGAGTGGCAACAGAAACCAAGGACAGGGCAGAAAAGCAGCTGTTGCCAACTGCAATAATTGTATGAGTCCCTTCATGTCTTATTCTACCTATGGGACCCAAGGCAGGATTGCTTCTCAGTCCCTTCCTCAGGAATTCAACTCTTCAGTGCTAACTGTGGGTGAGACTCACAAGTTCCCTTCCCTTTCAGCAGTCTTACCCCATTCCAATAGTTCTTCCACCCTGAGCTCTCTCTAAACTAAACCCCTAGACAGGAGAATTGAGTCCTTAGACACTAACAGCAGACAATTCTCACATCTCCCCCCTGATCCCCTTAGTTGTGCTTCATCCGAAGCTGAGCACTGTACTTGGATACCTTTCTTTTTCCTTTTTCCAGCCTTGAGTTTCTTGCGGCTGCGGCTGCTGCGGCTAGTGGATCCATCTGAAACAGAGTAGCTATTGATGCTAGCATCATCAAAGTCTGATTCCACATCCAGATCCTCATCTTCACTCTAGGGAATGCAGGAAGAAAGTATGGTGAGTCAAGCAGCTATGGTTTACCAGCCTCCTGCATCCTTGGACCATCCTCATGCATTGCATGTTGGGAAGCGTGGCACTGGTCAACTGCAAGTTCCTGGTATCATCAGTTTATCAGTATCCCCAATGGGGAGAAAAGGGACGAACAGTCAACTCACTGATGATCTCTTACGCTTGGAGCTAAATCCTCCCAGTTTGATTTTCAGAGGAGCCACCTTCTTGGTTTTGGGTTTCTTGATGTCAGGAACACGAGGACTGGCCTTGGGCTTCCGCCGGGCATTAGGCCCTATGAGTAAGGGAGATTGTGAGATAGAGGATCACCATTCTCTAGCTACCACATTCCACCTCTCATCCTGGTTTTTCATCTCACCTTTGCCCTCCTTGGTCTTGGCCTTACGTAGTGGCACATCAGCAGGGGGCTGGGGAAGGACAGCATCCACGTTGGCCACCATGCTCTCTACCACAGCCACAGCCGCAGCCGCTGCAGCTGCCACAGAGGCCCCTGAACTGCCTTTGAAGGGGTTGTTAGTGCTGAACTCCCGCCACTTGGCCCCCAGCACCATCATCATCTTTGAGACAGCTATCTTAGGATTCTTGGCAGCTATGAGTGGCCTGTGTGGGGGCAAAGAGGGAGTGTTACTGAACGGACATGGATACTGGATCCCCCCCATCCCAAGAACTACAATCCAGCTTAACCCCAGGGTTACTAGCTGCTGCCATCCTCCTGAGGAGGGAAATATTTCTGGCTCTGGGAGAGGAATGATGTCTACATTAGAGCAGAAGGGGGCCTGAAGATATGGACTTGTGTCCCAGCTTTACAACCAACAGCAAAACCATGGGACCAATCACTTTACTGTTGTCTCCATTCCCCTTGCCCTGGGGGTAACTGTCACCAAATGACAGGTTTCAGAGTAGCAGCCGTGTTAGTCTGTATCCGCAAAAAGAAGAACAGGAGTACTTGTGGCACCTTAGAGACTAACAAATTTATTAGAGCATAAGCTTTCATGGATTACAGCCCACTTCTTCGGATGCATATAGAATGGAACATATATTGAGGAGATATATATACACACATACAGAGAGCATAAACAGGTGGGAGTTGTCTTACCAGTCTCTACGCAAAAGAATTAATGGACACAAATCTGACATCAGGAATCAAAATACTCAAAAACCA